CTTTTTTTTGACGGAGTTTTGCTCTTATTGACCAGGCTGGAGTGCAATGGCATGATCTCACCTCACTGCAACCTCTGTCTCCCAGGTTCAAGCAATTCTCCTGCCTCAGCCTCCCAAGTAGCTGGAATTATAGGTGCCTGCTACCATGCCTGGCTAATTTTTTGTATTTTCAGTAGAGACGGAGTTTCACCATGTTGACCAATCTGCTCTCAAACTCCTAACCTCAGTTGATCCACCCGCCTGGGCTTCCCAAAGTGCTGGGATTGCAGGCATGAGCCACCGAGCCCGGCCTGTCCTTGCATTTCTTATCAGCTGGGATTTCTCTTTTTTGCAGACTCAGCTATACATGTAAAAGGATGCTCGCTGTATCTTATAGTACGTTTCTAGATTGTTTGCTGAGCCTTTCTCTGTTTTTCTTCCACATTCCAAGAACGAGAAGTCTTCAGCACTCATTTATTTTCATTTATGTTATGTAGCTTAATTCTAAAAACCACGTTGTCATCTCTACATCCTAGAGAAATAAAACAAAAGTCATGTATACTCTAGAGAAAAAAAAAGAAAAACTGGTTTATGGAAAAACAACAACAACAAATAAGAAAAATAACAAAATAATGTCCATGGGAAGGCCTTATACTTCCTCTTTCTAGGTGTATTTGAGAGAGATTATATGTGATTGACATTACTATTCATTTTGTGTTTCAGCCATAGCACCATTCAGTGAGCAGTTGCCACTCATAAGCTGGTAGCCTCCCAGACTACAAAGTGAGGAGGATAAAAGAAATGCTATTTTAACTGAGGTAGGATGGAGAGAGAATTCATGCTAATGTGCAAGGTTTAGTGCAAACAGAGGAACCCAGGGACAGACAGGATACTGGCATGCCTGAAGCTCCTATATCCTTATCTAAAAAAATAGTTACCAGTATGTTGTATGCATGGCACATTAAGGTCACCTAGGAATTTTCATTGTTTATTTGCAGTAGACAGTGGACATATTTCCTAACAAATATGTTCTATGGCGCTGAGCTCCGTACGTACTTTTCAGCAATTTTACATATCTTTTATTGTGGGTATTCCATATTCAATGGAGTGCTCAGAAATAGAAATTTAATACTTAGAAATCATTTCTAAAATGCACAGAGTATGACACATCAGTTAAATTCAATTTTAGAAGAACAACAGGAGAATAAATATGTAATTTAACTGCATATTTGCATATTTATTTAAGTTTAAACACATTAGGTTCTATCTTCTGGCTTTCATTTTGCTCCTCCCCACCTCACTACTCTCTCCCTCTCCTTTCTTCTTTCTCTGTCTGTCAGCTATGTATCCTCCAATACTAAAATCTCACAGGAAGTAAGGTGATCAAGTTGACCAGTGATGAAATTCCAGAGAAGGTGTGGTGTAACTCAAATAGATATTAGGGAGCTGCTTAATCATCTTTTTTGCTGCTTAACTTAGTCTTAATATGTGATTTAGGTGTCAAAGAAAATTTAGAGTTGTAACATAATACATTTTTATCCATTTTTGTGTTGGTAATAAACATCAAATAAAAATAAATTTTAAAAATATTTTCTTAATTTCTCAGTCTTTACTCCTCTACAACTCTTTATTCATCTTGAAATTTCTGCTGCATGTATTGCCTGGTCAATGTTTTATAATGATTAGCATTGAAAACAGCATGTATGACATAATCTCAACTGCCTCAGCAGCACACTGGCACTGTGACATCTTGGTGCTGGCGAAGTGTCTTTCTCCTAACAGGGCACAGCTGTACCTGCCGTGAGGGTTCTGGGGTTGGGGGTTTTCCTTTGGCTCAGCAATATTCAAGGACTAGTTACCCATCATTGAAAAAGAAACAGCCAGTCCACTCTCTCCAGTGCTCTTCTGTCTTGAAAAGGGCCTTTCTCCCGTGATCCCTGGTAACTAATTGTTTACACAATAGTGTGCCTATTTAGTGAGCTCATCTATCATCAGAGATGAAAAAACCAGCATTAAAATGACTAGCAGAATTGAAGACTAGTGGTCCAGATGAGCAGAGCTCGCAGAAAAGAAGTCCTAGTGTAAGAAGAAATTCAATTTTAAAGTGTATCTTTAAATACATGTGACAGCTTGCCCCAATTATTGTACAAACCAAGAAAACAAATAATTGTATACATGTTTGCGAGGCAAAGTGATGGGAAATATATTTCTGTTTCTTTTTGGTATGAAGTACTTGTAAAAATAATTGAAATGTCACTGCCTGTTTTCAGATCAGTCTTGCTTTCTTTCCATGTTTGAATTGGAAACCAAGACATCTGAGCTTGCATTTCAGCTCTGTAATTAAATAGCTTATGACCTTGGGCCTGCCATTCTGTCTTTTGAGCTCTTAGATTCTTAATCTATAAAACAAAGGATTGGATAAAATGGTTTCAAAAACCCCTCCAGGTCTAAAATCATTTTATGTTGTGGAATAGTAGGTTGTTCAATTGTCTAGGGCCCTAGCAAAATAAAATCTTATTTTTAAAGTATTTTTTTCAAACTAATTAAAAAGGGGCAGTTTATTTAATGGCCTAAATCAGTGCTTTAAAACATTAATGTTCAGTTGAATCATCTGAGATTTGATGATGATGCAGATTGTGATCCAGCAAGTCTGGGGTGGGGCCTGAGAGCCTACATGTCTTTCAAGTTACCGGGAGATGCTGATACTGCAGATTTAAGTACACATTGTGATGAGCAAGGACCTAACTAACTGTGGGGATTCTCATAGAGATATGGTCACACAGATAGTCTCTCTGGAACATACAGACGTCATTATGATCACCCAATCAATGTTTTGTTTTAAAGATAACATTTAAATGTTTTTCTCCAGCTAACATCAAATAAAAGTAAACCTTCAGAATATTTTTAACTAATTTTTTCAATACTTTATTTGCATTTAAAATTAAATAAATTTAGTTGTGTTACTTTTTACATAATATACTGATTTTTTTTTTTTAATTGACTGTTTTGGTCTCCTATCAGTAAAAATATGATGCTTTGTCTCAACTTGCATCTTCTCTCTCCCCACAAAAGAACTTCAGGATGCTAAGTTCATGCTTTAGAAAGTTATAATGATGCAGCTGGGAATAATCACTGTATTAAAAAAAATCCTGTATATACAGGTGCTATGGGATTTATTTTCAAGTTCCATTAACATTTCTTCTTTCACTCAGTCTAATTTATGTGAGGTCCTGAACCTATGAATCTAATATTAATTTTGACAGCTGGTCTCTGCCTCAAAGCCAAAGAGCTCGAAGATGTTTTATTCACTCCATCCCTTGCCCCGCTACCTCCACCCCGCCCACACACCAGCTTCAGTCTGCTATAATCAAAGTCCAAATGTAAAGACAACATGTTGTTAAGTCAATTAATTAACATATTGCTTCTGGGATGAATTTTTTTGTTTTCAATGTGGTAATAATGCTTCTATTTTTGAAGATAAAAATCTCTTCTGCACACTAACAACTAACCTTACAGAACCTTTCTTGTAATTACCACAGTGATTCTAACTATGTTAAGTACTTCCTAGACTCAGGCTCTTGTCAGTAGGGATCTGGGTCCCTACAAATACTGAGTCTCATTTATTCCACAAATTAGATTCTCTTTCTAATGAAGAGCTGAGAGTTTATGCCAATTTAAGTTCTAGAATATTGTATTATCATCGTTGTTGTCATTCTGATGGTGGAATAGATCCCAGAGGCTCTAATGGAGCTGGAGAGGAGAACTGGGCTCTTGTTCTAGAGAGAAGTTGTGAAACAAAAGAATCAGCTAAGAAACTTTTCTGAAATGCAATTCTCAGTTGTTATTTATTCTGTGTCAAGATCTTCATGGCCTGCATTATGATGCATTAGGTCTGAGTAGATCTCCAAAACTCAGAATTTAACAAGTATCATATGTGATTCTAATGCAGGTGTGCATGGACCATATTTTGATAATAATTTCACTTGTACCTTCAGTCTTGAAACATTGAATATGAAAACCAACATCTGAAAATATGGGTGTTTAGAGTAATAGAGATTCTTAGCTATGTAGACTACTGCAACTTATAGTCAAACTTCAAATATAAATAAATTTAATACAAGTCTGCATTTATCATGTAGCTGGATGCATACCTATCATCCCTTCAAAAGACGAGAATGATGCCAGCATTGTGTGTTGAGTTGAATTATTGAATGCAAAGCATAGAAAGACCTGTAAATAAATATTTTTGAAATTGAAGCTTTCACCTGTTTTCAAAATAGATTTTTGACTCAATTTACTCTAGATACTCTAGATTATCCTTCGGATATTGCCTACACACACACACACACACACACACACACAGAGAGAGAGAGAGAGAGAGAGAGAGAGAGACTCTATATACCCAGTATAAGAATGTACTACAGGTATATTAAAATGACTTTTTTTCCCGTGTACATTAGAATTAAAGTTACTTAGAGGGAAAATATTGAGTACCTTACACAGACCCGAAAAAGTGTTGATGACTTTATGATAATTTATGAGCTAGGAAAGGTAGACCAGGTACTTTTACTAGTGTCACAAATCACAGAACATAAACTGAAAAAACCAAACAGCCAAAAAGCATTTTTTGTTTTAGTAAAAAGCTTGGAACTGCTAACCTAGTTTCGCCCCTTCACCGTAGACATTAGGATCATAAGGTGTACTGATAAGTGACTTGTTAGTTGATGAAGAGCCAGAGCCAGAATTAAGCCTCTGAATTCCAGTCCATGGTTTCCTACTTCAGTGTACAATTGGTGTCCCTTGTTGTTGAACAGTAAATACGTCATAGAACTATATTTGTTTCAGTGTGCATTTCTTAAATGTAACTAAAAGTTTCTAAACGTTCCTAAAAGTGCTTGGAAAGAAATGGTATAATATGTATGGGTATTATAAACACCGAGTTCATAATGATTATTCTGATTGGAAGGACAGTGAAATAGGCATGCGAAATGACAAGGTTGTGGGTGGCCTTCAACTCTGTTAGAAATATTTTATTTTTTAACAGGAGTTCCTGTGCATTTTCTAAAAAATACCGTAAGTAATTTCTAAATAGATTTTTAAAAAGACATAGTGTTCTGTACATCTAAAATTAGCGTGGATTTTGATCTGTACAGTTAATGGGTCAAGACTTATTCTTCTTACTTTTAGACCTATTTGGTCTCCCTCCTTCCTCAATATGCACTTGCATATTGTGTAAAGGATGTTATGTACTTCCAATTATAAAAACACACACAGACTGGGCACTGTGGATCACACCTGTAATCCCAACACTTTGGTAAGCTGAGGCAGGAAGATCACTTGAGGCCAGGAGTCAAGACCACTGGGGCAACATAGTGAGGCTCTGATTCTACAAAAAATAAAAATAAATAAAATGAAATAGACAAAAACACATACCATAATATTACCCTGTAAACTTTTCTCCTATGCCATATTTCCACCAGGGATTTATAATAATTAGAATACTATTTTCGCCGACCACATGTATATTTACTCTACCATTCCAAACAGGGTTATTTACCCCAAAAGATTATAGGGTAAACCATCTCTCTTCTTAAAGAGATGACAGCAGAAAATAATATGACAATTTAAATAACAATGATGAGATTATATACTAATGTATTAAATGAAGGTGTTATTAAATTTTTAAGAAAAAGAGTAGAAATATAAAAATATTGTAGTTGTTATTGTAAATCCAAGGGATAATAAAATATAAATTATTCCTTTTATTCTTTTTCTAATAAAATTTTATTCAACATGCAAAAATTTATGAAATAAAGTACAACTGATTATTGCACCAATTTTGAGGAAGAAAAAAATTACATCACAACAAAGGAAGTTATCTATCTTCTTGGGCCTAAGGTGTAGTGCCACCAATTGAAATTGGTGCCAAAATTATTTTCTGGCTATTGTAAGAATTTTAAGTAAAGCCTTTTCATTGAAAATTATTCCTTCAATTATCCTAAATATAAAACAAATTATATAAAAATATCTCTTTATAGATTCTGAAGTCTCAAAAGAAATTCAGAAGATATTACATATAACCCTCATTCTGTTTCTCTTTTAGCCATCATTTCTTCTTGAATCTCTCTGGGGATGAGGATGCCTACTATGTTCTGATGCAGTTTATTCTATAACTGGGTAGTGATAACTTAAAATATTCTTCCTTATATTGAGTTGAAATACTCCTCTTGGAATTTGCTCCTAGAGCTGTAATTCTGAATCGTGATAACATTAAAAAAAAATACTACCACCTTTCTTTTAAAGACTTTCCTTTTGTAGGATAAACAAAATAGTATTAGCTCTTTCCAATATTTTGATTCAATGAAATGTTGGCTGAAACCATCCGCCCTTCTCTTGAAGGTGCTATGGTATCTGTGTTTCTAAAGTAACGTGTCTAACTTGAGAGTTAAACATGCTCAGACACATAAATTTTAACAAGGTTTTGTATTTCAAGCAATCAAATGTTAAATACATAAGTCAACCTAGGATACAAGATTCTAATCCTGCCTCCTGGTTCATGCGTCTCTGTTTGGCCTGTACATGGAGAAGACTGTCCAGGTCTTCTTGCTTTTTGCTACTCTAACCAGATAATATATGAGTTTTCAGTCCCATATGTAACCCCAGACCGGATCTGGTGAGTAAATGCCTGGCCTAATAGTGCTTAGGTTCATATGAGGAAATATTACCACCAACAAAAACAATAGAAATACCTGCAAATGGTTGCCAACTATGATTTAATTAAAACCTCTATTTGGGTGTTTTACAGAATGTAAAAAATCACAAAGTATTTTGTAAGCTATCTATTTTGATATAATTGTAGATTTATATGTAGTTGTAATAAATAATATAGGGAGCACTTGTATACCCTTTAACTATTTTCCACCAGTGGTAGTATCTTATATTACTATAGCACAATATCATAACCAGAGAATTCACATAGAGAGAATCCTTTCATCTTATTCAGGTATCACTAGTTTAACTGTGTGTTTACTTGTATTACCACAGTGGAAAAACAGAATACTTCCATCACTTATGGAACTTATGCTACTCTTTTGTAGCTACAGTCAATTCAATTCTTCCTACCATTTCCTAACCCTGGCAACTAACTACTAACCTATTCTCTATTTCTGTAATTTTGTCATTTCGATAATACTGTATGACTAGAACCCTATAGTGTGTGTAATCTCTTGAGATTTTTTCCCCATTCACCATAAAGACCCATCCAGGTTGTTCTATGTGTCAATAGTTCTTTGTTGTTTCATTTTCCTTTTTATTGTTGAGTAATATTTTGTAGTGTGTATGTATCACACTTTGTTTAATCATTCATCCATTGGAGGACATCTGGGTGTCCTCAGATGTTGGGCTGTTATGCACTTTTTTTGTACAAGTTTTTGTGTGAACATCAATTTTCATTTCTTCAGGTTAAATGACTAAGAGTGTAATCGCCAGGCCATATGACAAGTGCTTGTTTAGTTTTTAAGAAACTGCCAAACTGTTTTCCAGAATGGCTATATTGTTTGACATCCCCATCAGAAATACAAATCTAATAAGGCATGTAAAGCTGTCTTCTATTCCAAGAACCCATTCCAAGAGCATTTGACTGTTAACGTTGGTTATTTTTGGCTTGTTATTTCAACCATCTCACCATTGGAATTAAAGTACCCTTCTAGGATTTTTTTGCTCGTTACGTCCATGGAATGGATAGTGCGTTGCACTATCTAGACCCACTTCAGGGGTCAGGCTTTCATTCTGTCAAGTGCTGAAACTATTGTCTACTAACAGCTCACAAATACAATAACTCTTTCTATGATTTGCTCTGGAATGAAGACAGCTGCCTCACGGAAGATGAGACCCCACCCCCTGATGCAACCGGTTAAAAACTGCTTGATGTGGGAGAACAATGACTTGGCCCTCCAGACTTAATCTGGGCCAGCTCAGCTCCAGAGCACTCCATGGGATCACCTGCGTTCTCTGTTACAACTACATCATAGTTCAATTCCTCCCTATGCCCAGTTCTGCTTTCCTTACTTCTGGGAGTTGATCTTTAGCGCACACCCTCAGAAGTTCTGCTGCATATAAATCCATCTCCTTTTCTAAGGAACCCAACCCATGACGGTTGATCTTAGGCTACAGGGGTAGTACAAAGACAGATACTAAAGTGGAATTTGAGAGGTGCATCACCTACGAGTTGGTACGAGGAGGAATGATAACCTTGGCAAGATATAGCAGTACAGTTGTCCAAAGTTTCACTGATAGAGGACTGGGAAAGTATATTATTGGATGAAAAAGCTCTTCTGGTACAATATATCAGGTAATTGAGAGGTACGAGGAAGAAGTCAATAAAAGCCTTATGGGATTGGATGACTGTTGCTGGGAGCTATTGATGCATTGGAGAAAGATAGTGGAAGCCTAAATGTGATTCATCATTAAGAAGTTAAAAATCATAGGGTGCCCATGCCAGCGTATAAACTTATTTAATCAGAATAGATGAGCAAGATTTGGCAAATAGGTTAGAGGTCTGGAAAAATACATGGACAACAGATATTAAGACATAAAACCTATAAAGATTCAGATATCTGCCACATTAGAGGAACTGTTAAGTGTTCAGAGGTTTAGGGCAGCAGTTGGCAAACTGTTTCTGCAAATTGTCAAATAGTTAAGATTTAAGGCTTTGCAGGCCAGACACCATCACAACTACTCAACTTTGCCATTGAAGCACAAATATAGCCATACACGATTTGCAAATGAATGGATTGTATGAAAATACAACTTTACTCACACGAAAGAGGCAGTGGGCTAAATTTAGCCTGTGGCCAGTAGTTCGTTGACCCCTGGTTTTGAGGGCATAATGGGACATCCTGTCCTTCCCAAAGTAAAGGACAAATGAATACGATGTAAAACCTCCACCACTAGGAAGGAAGCACAACCTCTTATAGGCCTCTTTGGGGCGAAGCTAGCATATTCCGTACTTGGGAATACTGCTGTGGTCTATTTACCTTGTGAAATGGAAGGTTGTCGTTTTTGAGTGAGGTTCACAGTAGGAAAAAGCTCTGTAGAAGTTCAGACTATAGTGTAAGCTCTCCTAGTAGCACAAGACATATCTATGGTGAACAAAACATGTCAAAATAATCCTTAGAACATGCTCCAATAATCAAAGCTAACACAGCTGGTTAGTGGTGGAGTTGAGGTTTATGTATAGATTTGCCTGGACTGTGAGAACAGACACTTAATATTACCTATACCCCTTAAAACAACAAGCAGAGTCTTGCACAGCATAGGAATCAAGTAAATATATATTCAACTGCACTAGTAGTTTTGTGGTTTAGGCAAATAGGGAGTATTTGTTAAGAATTGAATCTGCTTGTGCCTGACACACATTGGCAAAAAAAAACTTTTCGTTAAACACATTTAAAGAAAGACTCAGGTGATTTTTTTTTTTTTTTTGAAATACACAGCTTCAGGATTAAAAGGATTCTAGTTTATGGGAAGAAGCTTCATCGGGAGTCACAGTTAACTTTATGTTTGAAAATTATTAGTAATAGTTTTCTTTTTACAGAGTCCACAGATGCATAGAAGTTTAACAACATATTCCTTGCCACAAGCAAAGAACTGATTCTTTGTTTTTATCCTTCCTTATTAACAGAAGGATTATGCTGTGTTTTCAGTCTGGTTTTTAAAAAGAAAGCCATAAGGCTTTGCTACCAAGTAAGATCACATTTGTAAGAAGATCCTTATTAATATTTGGAGAGTGTTAAATATTCCTTAATGAGAAGCAAGACTGGGCAGACTTATCAAGATATCTGCTAGTTCCAAGCCCAGAGTACAGATCAAGAGGCGGAGCAAACTCGTTTCTGTTCCTCCTGGGATGCCAGCAGTGTTCTAGCTGCCACTGGGGTAGAATTTGTATCAGAGAGGTCACAGGGCCTGCTGAATGAAGCTGAAGGGGGAAAAGATGTGTATTGACAATGCAAATATACCAAGGAATAGCTCTTATTAAGGCAGATATGTCTGCACGCAGCAAATGACAGTCAAATTTTATTACATTCAGCGTTCATATAACACATGGATTGTAACCTTTGGCCTTGGGTTCCTGGGTGGAAAAAGATGAGACAGTTAATATCTGTTGAGAGCTTATTGCATGCCAGGCACTGTGACCATAAACAACTATCATGCTTTATTTGCTGGTTAAGAAAACATAACTATCATGCTTTATTTACTGGTTAAGAAAAAAAAAAATTAAAGGCAACAGTTTTCTCCTTTTAAGACCAGTTAGTTAATTTAGATTATTCAATCCCTTCTCTTCACTACTAACAGGAGGTCAGTTATAGGTCGTAAGTGCATGACAGTATTTTTCAGGTTTCCCTGAATAGATCAGATTTTATCCCATGTTCCCTGTGATTGTAATAAAATTTGACAATGTACTGAATATTTTATATTTGGACTAAAAAATTGCATTGCCTGGATTTTCTCTTGCTGTTGGAAATGTCAAAAAATTGAGAAACTTGCTCATGTACTTTTGGATGGAATACATTGTATGAAGACACTGAAAAGTTTCCTGGAGTGTCTGATTAGTCCTGATTTCCAGTGGTCCGTATAGTTCTAATTCAATGTGGGCCAATGTAGTCATTAGTTATGGGCCACACAGTTTCTGTACAAAGTAGCAAGCACTGAGTTTTTTCATTAAAATATTTTTTTAAATTTTAATTGCAGTGAAATAGTAAGTATTTTAAATGTAACCATAAAGCTTTAAAGGCATTAATTTAATGAACAGGAGAGAACTTGGAACTATATACATCTACTGGGTCATGGCAAGGCCCATGGTAAGACAAATGGAGAGGTCGATCTAAAACCAGAGAGCAGCAGAGCTGAGGGTTCAGTTTGCATAACCTGTGCCACTAGTCTGGGTAACAGTGGGGTAGCACGGCACCTGAAAGCAGGCCAAGGCTCAGCGTTACTTCTCCAGAGGTATGTACAGTAGAAAGAGTACCTTTTTAACAATAAGTATAGGTAAATATATTAAAGATTCAGATTAAATATACACTCAAGTCATACCTTGCTTCAGTATTACGCCTGGTGTTGGACTAGACACACACACACATGCACACACACACCCTCTCTCAATATATCCTCATATCAGCAAGGTGAAGTGGACAGAGGTGATCCAACTTCATACATCCTTGGAGATTGCTGAGGCTTCTTTCTGTATGTGTCAATTAGATCAAGTTGATTAAGTTCAGTTGGTGTTGTTCAGTTCAATTATATCCTTACAGATTGGCCTGATGATGGATTAATCAATTACTGGTAGAGATGTGTTCAAGTCTCCACCTATAACAGTGGATTTGTCTATTTCTCCTTGCAGTTCTATTAGTTTTTGTCTCACATATTATGATGCCCTGTTGTTGATACATACATATTAAGGGTTGCTACGTCTTCTTGGAGATTTGACACATTTATCTTTATGCAATGCCCCACTTTATCCCTGAGAATATTTCTTTCTCTGAGGTCATCTTTGTCTGAAATAAATTATATAGTCCAGCTTTCTTTTTATTAGTGCTAGCATGGTATATATTATGTATTTACTTTTGAGCTATCTGTGTTTTTATATGTAAGGTGGGTTTCTTGTAGGCAATATAGTTGGGTCTGTTTCTAACACTCTGACAATCTCTGTCTTTAATTGGTGTATTTAGACAATATACATATAAAATCATTATTGATTTAGTTGGATTGATAGTTGCCATGTTTATAATGATTTTCTATTTTCTGCGTTTGGTTTTTGTGACTTTAAAAAATCCTCCCTTCTTTTGCCTATTGTGACTTTGAGCATTTTACAAAGTTCCATTTTCTCCCCTGTTTTAGCAGATCAATCATAATGCCTTAACAAAGCTTTTAATAGTTGCTATTGGCTTTGAAATACACATTTGCAGCTAATCCACTTTCAAATAACACTGCATTCCTTCATGAGTAGCACAGGGACCTTGTAACAAAGTCCATGTGCTACCCAATTCTTCCCTTCTGTGTTCCCTTATAACACGGCTGTCTTTTATTTCACTTGTCCAAATACCATAAACATCCAATATATTGTTACTTTTAGTACTCTGAATATGTATTTATTAGACCAATTAAAAATCAGAAAAATGAAATCTAAATTAATACAATTATATTTAAAAATTACATTTTGAGCATTTCCTCTTCTAGAAAAATTGTTATGTTTAAATGCCGTGTCAGTATTGGGAGCTTTTTATTTTGCCTTCACATATTACTTTTATGATGCTTTTCCTTTCATTACGAAAATCCAGGTTTCTGAATTCTGTCATTTACCTTCTCCCTGAAGAACTGCCTTTAACATTTCTTGCAAGGCAGGTCTATGGGCAACAAGTGTCTACAATTTTTGTTTTTCTTAGTCTTTATCTCCTTTACTTTTGAAGGAGAATTTCATCATATATATAATTATTGATTTTTTTTCTAGCAACACTTTAAATATTTAATTGCAGTGTCATCATTTTTACATGGTTTCCAACAAGAAGTCTACTGTGTTTTGTACCCTTTTTCCTCTATAAATAAGGCTTTTTATTTCACTCTGGCTTCTTTCAAGAATTTTCTCTTTGTTTTTGTTTTTCTCAATTCTGATAGAGTATGCCTAAGTGTATATATATATTTTTTGTATTTATCCTGCTTGTTGCTCATGGAGCTTCCTGAATCTGTGGTTTGGTGTTTATCATTAATTTTGGAAAATCCTCAGTCATTATTACTTCATGTATTTATTATGCACCATTCTCTGTCTTACCCTTCTGGTATTCCAATTACGTATGTGTTAACCCTTTTGAAATTGTCCTATAATTCTCGAATATTCCGTTTTGTTTTCTTTTTTTTAAATTTATTTTTCCCTTTGCATTTCAACTTGGAAATTTTTTATCGACATATCTTCAATCTCACTGACTCTTTTCTCGGTTGTTTCTGGTCTACTGATGAACTCATCAAAGACATTCTTCATTTATGTTAATTTTTAAATTTATATTTTTGGGGGTTTTTTTTTGCATTTCCACCTCTCTGCTTACATTACCCATCTGCTCTTGTGTGTTGTTTACTTTTTCTATTTGAACCTTTCACTTATTAATTATAATTATTTTAAATTACCTAGCTAATAAATCCAACATCTATACCATATTTGAAGATGGTTCTGATACTCGGTTTATCTCTGCAGATAATGTGGTTTTTTTCTTATAGAATGGTTTATACTTTTGGTTGAAAGTTAGGCATGACATATGATGTAGTAGAAGATGTAAATAGTTCTACGGTGTGAGATTATGTTTACCTGGCTAGGAGCTGGCCCATGTTCAACGTTTGCTGTAGCAGTAGGTGCCAAAAGTTTTCATTTTCCCTATTGTTCTTGTTTTGTCTGTCCTTTTTGGGGGGTTGTGGGGGTTCCCTAAAAACTCTTTCCTAAATGGAGTCTGTGTCTTGAAGCTCTGTCGTTCGTAATTCACTGTTATTATATTGGAAACCTGTTGATGTATCATTAAATAATAAGAGAATGAAAACATTCTATAATATTTTGATGAAATCTCAGCCTTTTGGAGAGTCTTTAGCTCTGAACTATATAATCTTCACAAGTGTTTCTCGGCTTCCCCCCACCTTCAGATGAGACAGAAAGGCAAAGGGGGCTGGAGTTGACCCTACCTTAGGTCATTTAGCATCCCAGTAAAGTCTTTTCTATCGGAGAGCAAGTCCTCACTATGAAGAACACTTTATATATACTTCAAAATGGTTAGTTTCCCTCTTGCCCAGCCAGACCTGCCAGGGGATTTTTCTTGGCCCATTTTGAGGATCTTGTAGGGTTCCTAGAGGTAAAACCCATGTATATACGGGGGCTTCACTAATATTATGGCCACCAAGAGTTTCTCACTCTCAAGTGAGTCTGCATTCAGGCTCCAGAAATTCATAAAAATTATCATTTAAGTGCTACTAGAAGTTCATGGGCCATTGGCTTTTGCTCCAGAAAAATAAATCTTGGCTGTATCTCTCTTGATGTGCCTGTGTCTTCAGATTTTGTAGTGATGCCCTTTGACCTCAATTCTCTAATATGTCCAAGAAATGTCATTGATTTTTAGTTTGTCTAACTTGTTTGTATTATAAGGGTGGGAGAAAGGCTTTCCAAACACTTTGTATATCAGAGCTGAAACTAGAAGTCCAGATTT